CCAGTTCAAACCTGAGTTTTAAAGCAAAGCTGTAACCATCCCCCAAACTCATCATTACAGAGCTAGAGAAAATTAATTAATTTGTTCACTTGGTTTTTAACCATCTCAGTGATTACAGTGTTACCTTCACACAAAGAAATAGATCACAACAGTGCCGGTGAATTGTACATATTTTAATGTGTTAAAATCCATGTGCTTGTGTAAAACCTGGGCTGTGTACAGACGTTCGGTTCAGTAGATTGCATTTTGTTTTACAGGATGCCATCAGGATGATGATTACTCAAGGCAACATGCAACTTCAGGAACTTCAAAGAACACTGAAGTTGGCAAAATCCTGATCTTCAGTTTGTTGAAGGCTGGACTTTCATCTGCTGTGAACAAGCAGAGTATTTCTTCCAGAAAATGGTTACAGTAGCAGCCTTTGCTGGCAACCTGGTAACCTTTGAAGGTGGAACCACCATGGTGGGGGTTTTGTTTATTCCCCCTCCTCATCTCAGTTTGGCTACCTTCCCATGTGGAACTCACTGAGCCACGAAGGATTTTAAAGACCTGAATGGATGATGTTAGGATGTGCTGTGGGAAAAGCAGAAAGCACCAAAAACTACAGCAGCAGTGTTACACCAGGGAAATGGAAATAAATATGAGCCAGATTATTTTGTCTGTTTTCTATTGTGGCAGCTCTTAAGTGGTAACATTTACAGTGGCAACGGCTCTTTCTGTACTGTGCCAAGGACTTTTACCAACGTTTGGGATTAAAAATCCCAAACATTTGGGATAAATAAATAGGCCCAAAGCAGATAAACATGATTGATAGAACATAAAGCAAATGTTTTCCATGTAGGTGCAAATTTTCACTTCTAACTGAATAAAACTTAAAAGGGGAGGTCTTTAAATATGAAAATGAGTGATTTTATCCCCCAAAACAGTTATGACCAATTTAACAGGAACTACCTTCAACTTTTAGTATTTAAAAGTCAGTATAAGGTAGAATTGCAGATAGAAAATACTAACCAAAAATATTGTGGTCTGGCTTTCCAAATGTTACATTACTCCACTTGTAATTGTTAGTTTGCAGTCGTTCTTACCTCCGTGTGAATTGCAGTTTATCTTCTATTTATTTCTGTATCATTTGAAAATACCAAGGTGAGTCTGAGATTTTCTCAGCATAAAAAAGCCAGACAGAAGTAGCTGGATTCCTGACTATCCAGTAGCTGCTTGCAGTTCGGGTCGTGGTTTCAAGAGATGAAGGAGCCCTTCCCTCTCCCACCTATTACAGGTCACTTGAGGAGCCACCTCCTCTTCCCAGCCGGACAGCCTCACGGCAAGTCTGGTAAGTGCCACCATGTCGGTAAGTGCTAATGCTGCCACAGGGGAAAGGACAGGCCAGTATTGCCCCTCTAGGCTGTGGGAGGGAGGGAAGAATGCTTCTTCCTGGAGCTAAACAAAGGGTCTTCAAAGTTACATGTATCAGCAAAGTTGCTTCTCCAAAAGCTTCTGCTTAACATGAAAGAATGCTTCCCCCCCCTCCCCCCCCAAATTATTTTCCTAAAAGACATTGTAGAATCCCTTCCCGTGACACTTAGCTTGCAGGAAAGGATGTGCTGCAGGCTACCAGTGAGGCTGCTAAAGAGTTCAGATTTGTATAGAGAGAAGCCTTCAAACTTGTATGTCTAAATGTTTTGTTAAAAATCTAAATTTTCTTAACACTTTCTAATAGAATACACAGAACATTAGTGTGTTGAGGATTGATTCTTCACATTCGCAGAAAATGCTGGTTAGAAAGGAATTTTGGCTAAACAAAGCCATAATCAATGTTGGCCGTTTCTCACATGTAACTTCCCCTTTCCCCGAGCCAGTGGTTTGATTTCTGCTCCTTAATTAGGAGATTTTACCGTGCTGCCTCACCACAGTGTTTTCCATTCACAGCCCTGAGCCTGCACTACTCCTTTGACTCCAGTTTTTATGTTTCTAAGTTGTGACCTCATAATCAGAAATAGTTCTTGACAGGGAGTGCCCCATGAGTGCTGCAGCCCATGATCTCCACTGCTTTGTTGGCTTGTCAAGATAAAATTGCCTGCCAGAAGCCTTTAGGTGTCTAAGTATAGTCTGCTACGGTAAGTAGATATACTCCCAAGTGTGTGCTGTGAAGAAAAGTATTTTGTGAAGTCCTTCAACTATTGTAGCTCTTACAGAATCACAGAATGGTTTTGATTGGAAAGGACCTTAAAAATCATCTGGTTCCAACCCCCTGCCATGGGCAGGGACACCTTCCACTAGACCAGGTTGCTCAAAGCCCTGTCCAACTTGGCCTTGAACACTGCCAGCAATGGGGCAGCCACAGCTTCTCTGGGCAACCTGTTGCCAGCGCCTCACCACCCTCACAGGGAAGAGTGTCTTCCTAGTATCTAACTTAAATCTCCCCTCTTTCAGTTTCAAGCCATTACCCGTTATCCAGTTACTACATGCCTTTGTATAAAGTCCCTCTCCAGATTTCTTGTAGGCCTCCTTTAGGCACTGGAAGCTGCTCTAAGGTCTCCCTGGAGCCTTCTCTGCTCCAGGCTGAACAAGCCAAACTCTCAGCCTGTCTCCATAGGAGAAGTGTTCCAGCCCTCTGATCATCTTTGTGGCCTCCTCTGGACTCACTCCAACAGGTCCACATCCGTCTTGGGTTGGGAGCCTCAGAGCTGGATGTGGTACTCCAGGTGGGACCTTGTGAGAGCAAAGTAGAGGATCACCTCCCTCAAGCTGCTGGTCATGTTCCTTTTAATGCAGCCCAGCATACAGTTGGCTCCTCCTTTCAAAGCAGGGGGGACTACAAAGTGGAGTAAAAAGGAAGGAATTAGCAGAGAGTGCCTCCCTTTATTTTATAGTACACTTGTTAGCATCAGAAAACCTGTAAAATCAGTACTCTGCAGTCATCGTCTTATATTACTGCTCCAGTGGGAACCTTGGTAGTGCAGTTCGTGTGTGAAGCAGATTAGGTTAAAGCCACAGCCTTTCCATTTCCCTTGCACTTGTGTAAGCTCAGGAACGTGTGTGCCATCATCTGCGCACTCAGCCTGGTGCCCCTACCTTCTGAAAGGGTGGGGGTGTGCATCAGCTAACGAATGTCAGTCAGCCCCTGCAGCCACCTGTGGCACACACAGTAGAACTGGTTTCTGTGTTTTGTAGCCACAAACACAAAAACTTAGAAGTTGAAGTCCCATTTTCTGCTCCCCCTTCTGAGTGAAGTGAGGGGATTGTGTCTGTTCTCTAGCTAGAAAACGTTACACCACAGACGTCTAAGCAACACAGACTTCTGAGCAACACTTATTTTAATTGCTTGGCAAAACATTCACTTTATCAAGATGATACAAAACTTAAATAGCATGCTTCTGCGTTCCTACAGTAGCTTAAACAAAACCGTAAACATATGGAAGTGTCTATGTTAGACTACAGAAGTCAGAGCAATAAAACTAGTGTTTCAATAACTGCAGATACACTTTTCTTGTCTTGATAGTGCATTAATAGGAACTTTAAAAATTTTGCTATATAATACAATTTTCTTTGCTTTATACATCTGCTAAGAAGAAGAAAGCTTAATCACTAATTAGTCAATGGTGTGTTCAATACTGTATTTTGTATTGATTTTAGGGCTCCTCAGTACAGAAAAAAAATACCTTTCTCCTTGGCATAACAGTACTATCCTGTATTCGAATTGGTTCTGAACAACTGTCTGTCATGATCTGTTAACTTACTTTTCTAACAGAATCTGATGAAGCCTTCTCAGAGGTATAAGGAGGAAGCCCTAAAGGGGTGCAGATGCAACAGTGCCTCTAGATGATCTGAAGTGTGTCAGCCCGGACAACACTGGCCATTGTAAGTTTTGATTTTATAACAAAACACATCCATAAAAACTTTAAGATGTTGTTGAGTTCTATGCCGTGGGAATGTTTGTAAATCCAGTCCTAAGACCTGCAGACTCACCAAGGCCTGGCATCTCTTTTTAGAGATACAAGGAAGGGAAAAACCAAAGAGAAGAACAAAGGGCAGGGTGTCTGAGAAAATCCTGACTGCAGGAAAAGAAACATTTGAGTACAGGGAAGCTTTCACTTCTTTAGATAGAAGGACTTTTTCAAGCTTCTTCAGTAGTGGAGAATTCAGCCATTTGCTGCTTGAAGAAGAGATTTATATAAAAATTATACCTAGCAAGTAGAATATGGTTATGGTAAAATATGTGCTATCCCTAAACAAAACTTCTCTGCCAGATTACTGGAATATGGCCCCACCAACTGTGTAACCACAAGGAGCTTTGCAAGGAGGACTCTGTAAAAAAAGGACAAGTCTAATTTAGCATTTGTTTTAATAATGTAAAACAAAAAGCAAAGTGGCAACCAAAGCCTCTGTACCTAATGGGGTGTATCTCACTCAGTGGGAACCTGGCCTCTCCCAGCTGCAAGCCTGCATCTGTCACCTGCGTGGGCTTGTAATTGGAATTGGTTCTGTAGCTGTTCTCCACTGACTAGAGCAAGCCTGTGGGGAGTATCTAAAATAGTATCTACAGCCCTTCGTCACTGGAGAATTCTGTCAAAAGCTCTCCCAAACATCCTGGGTTTATTTCACTGTTGGTATCACCACGTATTTACATGTAGCATCCAGTGGAACCCTCCAGCCACACGCAACCTATGTGGAAATAAGAACGTTCCCTTTTCAGAAAGCAGTTTTGGTTTCTAATGCAGTTTGTGTTCAAGCAGCACCTGGAAATTGAGAGTGCAATATTTAACAGACTCTTGGAAATAACAAAGAAAGGAACTAATGTGCAGCATCTCATTGTCATCAGTAGTCTGCATATGAATTCTCCTCAGTTCTGGAGTCTCCAAAATTAGTTCTGCTCCTGACAAAGAGGATTTTGTTTGGATGTAACAGGCACTACAAATATATATATACACCAGTATTCGAGATTCCCATACAGCAGGTTCCAGAATGGGTCTTGTTGCTCGTCTTTACCTGCTTGGTAGACGCTAGCTCTCTTTCTGCACCTTAGTCCTTAATTTGCTGAGCTCCTCTTCTAAGCTTTTAATGTGCTCCTTGAGTGCAGCTTTGTCTTGCTGCGCTTTCTGGTTAGCTTGGCACCGGGCTTCTTCTATCTTCCGTTCATACCACTTCTCCATCTGTGTGGAAACGGCCTCGAAGAAGTACTGCGTTATCTCCAGGGCCTGGGAGGTGTCTCTGAGCGCAGGGGCAGGTGGCTGTCCCCCAGGCAGCACAGAGGGCTGCTGCTCCTGGCTTGCATGTGCCCCAGCGTGGTGCACAGCTTTGTGCCTCGACTGCCCGCTTTTGCTGGACTTCTTCGTCTGCGTTCCTTTGTCAATGAAGCAGCCACTCTGTGGTTCAGTCTTTGCAGGTTCAGTCAAGGGCTGCAAAGCAGCTTGAACCTTAACATGTCTTAATTTGGAGCCCGAAAGCTCAGAGGAGGGCAGCTCCTGCTGGAGCCTGTGGAAAGTGCTGGCACTAACAGCTTTGTCCTTTGGCCTGACATCTTGAGCAGGGGCAGAAGAAGAAACCGGTCCACCAGTGATTAACTGTTGCTCTGTACCTACAGAATAAAATAAATACATAGATATTTAGAAAAGCTCTGGGCATTTATTTTGGCATCCAGAAATCCTTGCTGTTTGATGCATGATGTGGTTTCTCATGGACCATGCTGTGTGTAACACTGTAGAGGCTTATCTGCCTTACCACATCTTCACAGTCAGGTGATACAATAAGGGGTCATTAAAAGAGAAAAGCTGGCTCAGGCAGGGAGCACTGCATTGCAGCTGGGGAACTACAGGCCAACACCAGTTAAAGGACTTCACAAGAAGGACACGTGACAAAGACCAGGCTACATTCCTACGGTAGTTTATATCTGCTGATACCTATGAACCCCCTGCTTCTACAAAACTTGACGCCCCATTGATTTTGCACAGGTAACACATTTTGATGCTTTTGAACTATTCAATGCATGTGGTCTTCTGCCCTTCTAATCTGATGGGGTATCCATGCCATGTCTGTTCACTTTGCATGGTGTTTGGGGGGGAATATACAACGTATCTTACAGAAGCCCAGGGCTTTGATAGCATTCTCCTTGGCTGTGCAGACCTGGCCAGCCTCCCCTTCTAATTTTTACCTCAAAAGCTTCCTTGGTCAAACACAGAGAGGAGGCTTGAAATGCATCTTTGGGTGGCCTTGATCGCTGAATGGGCTGAAATGTTCTCAGCTATTTTTGTTCTTGTCAAATGAACTAGTAATTAAACAGACTTTGGTTCAAGGGAAATGAGTATTTTAGGTTCACATCATCGCACCCCGCTGATACAGGTTCCATGCATCTGAAAAGCCCTAGATACACTTCCTTCAGTAGACTTTGGATAATCTGCACACCTTCCCACCAGACAACAGGGTAGGAGCAATTCTGTCTGGGAAGCTGGAGGAATTTCAGAAAACAGATTATTCAGAGCACCGAAGAACTTGGCTTCAAAGACACAGTGACATGGAAGCATCAGGAAGTCAGTGAAGAGAACCGTGTCTTAAAACATTCCCAGTGGCTGCCTTGAAGTGTATTCTAACCCCAAGACATACAGGATGCGAAGAGCACACAGCCAGAACTAATATGTGTGGTATTAATACAAGTATCCTTCAGCTGATTAGCTCATCTTCCAATGCATATGACATCTAAGTACCTGATAAGGTTGCACCCGATGCACCATCCTGTTGAATGCAAAAATGTTGCCCAAAGTTCTGTTCTGGCATCTGGCCTCTGCTCCTTCCCCCATCTTCTGAGAGGCTATTTGGAAGTGCGATATAGGAATGCTGGTGGGAGCCCTCCAACTGCAGCACGGGCTGGTTGGCTTTACAGTCCTTGGCACTGTGGGGGTTGTTCTCAGTATCCAGGGTCTCAGTGAGAGACTCACAAGTGGACAAAGTTGATTTTGGTCTTGATGACCTGGAATCTCCAGAGAGCTTGAGCTCCAGATTCTGAATCTTCAGCATGCACCAAGTCTTCAGCTCATCGACCAAGGAAATCTATGAGAAAGAGACTGTAATTAGATGATCCTGTGATGAGATCCAGTGGTTCCTGGGCTGTTGTGGACAGATGGCAAGGACAAAGAGAAGCAAGCTGAGTTGTCGCCTTAGACTCCCTGTACAGATGCATGTGCTGCCTCTGGGAATATTTAAAGGACTGCAAATCAGACAAGATGAAGAACTAGGCATGACTGAATTAAAGGCACCCTCCTTAGTTCGAGCTACCACCTCTTAGATTTGAATGTGCTACTTCAAACACAACACTAAGTCCTCTGATCAGGGATGACTGTTCAATTATACAGTCAATGGTACTTTCTAAGGAACGTCACATGTGGTCAAAGCTGCCATTTTTTAAAGAGTGAAATTCAAATTAGACACTTCTGGGACACCACTTTATACCACTGCCAACCTCTGTTGGTGGTAAAGATGAGTCCTGCACTAAATGATAAATTACTAACACCTTTCAAATTACAAAGGTGCTTAGTAAGTCTCAGATGCAGAGGTGTTTGCCAGTGAGCATTTAAAATATGAGTAGCTCTTTTACCCTCTTGTTCATATGACATCATGAATTCAGGTCTGGCCCTTCTCTGCACATGGACCCAACTCAAAGTAAAGCCCAACTCAAGTTTTTCGAGTACTTTCACTTAGACCAAACAGAACAGGAACACAAATTTCTTATCACGTTTTAATGGTGAGTTTTTGCAGAAGCTGGAAGGGCAAGAGCTGGATCTGTACAGGAACAGCTAATTCTTATCATGCTGGTTAAACAAGCACATGAACAGAACTTGCCTATTGGCAGTTAACACACAGCTTTGAAATGATGCGGTGTTGCCAAAGTCAGAGGGAAGAACTGCAGCCTTTTAATACACAGGGGAAAAAAGATCAGACAGAGAAGAAGGGAGAGATTCCCAGGGCACAACCATATGGTTATTAAAAGGAACAACACAGGTCTTGCTCTTGTTACTATTTGCAGATGTTCCTGCGGACATCCTTTAATGAAGCAAAAGCTGAAAGCACAACTGTTAAAATTTTAGCAGTAGGAATTTTTGCAAAGCACTATGTTAGGGAAAAAGACATTTTGTTACAGATCCTGTATTTCAGATCCACCAAAATAAATTCTGACAGAGAGACTGGATTTCACGCTCCCCATTTCTAATGCAAAAGCTTTATAAAGCTGGTTTAGACATTAAGGTAGTGATATGAGGGAATGATTTGGTCTTTGAAGCTCTTTTGCCTGTTTCAGCAGAGAAATCTCCAATATTCCCTCTGCCTGCTGGAACGAAACTCTTGAGCTGAGCCGTCTGGGCTAACAGGGAGTAGCTGGTTCAAGCCCTACCTGCCGTTTCTCCCCCTCACTCTTTTCCAGCTCAGTGTGCTGCTGCAGGCGGTGAAGGCACTCTGTCCTCTCTGCTGAGAGCCGCTCAGCCATCTAGGGGGGGGGGGGGGAACAAACCATAATTTAGCAGAGATGGTCATGTTAAAAACCAAACAACCTCCCTCCCAACTGTGAACCTTGTAAGTCAATGTACTGTCTTTCAGTCTTCATTTCTAGGAATGCTGCCAACAACAATTAGATGTAGCTTGCAAAAAGGTTCAGTCGCAAAATTAGTGATGAATAACAATTACATTAAAAACAAAAAATAATTTAGAGGATCTTGAATCTCAGTGCAAACAGAATTCAGCAAGAGGGATTTTACAATTACAAACTGATGAGCTGTAGGACTGCCTTCTGTCTTTATATTTCCCTCTTAGGGCCTCAAGCAATTTAGATTTATTGTCTAAAGAAGCACCAGAAGCCACTTACCACATTAAATGTGGTTTTTGCAAGACTCTAGTTTGCAGCATTAGATCCCTGTGGAATATCACAGTTCCCTGGCTTGAGTATTACATTTCAGGTTCGTTTTACCACACAAGAAGCAATAAATGAATCATGACAGTGAAAATGTTCATTAAGCTTAGGGTATGTTTATACGGGCAAGCAGACCTCCAGGTCATAGTCTTACTTGATGTTGAGTTTTGGTTTCCATCTGGCCCAGCTTAATGTTCATCTTATCTTGTACTGTCCCAAACTCAGCTTTTATCTCTTCCACTGTTGCCTCCAGCTGATTCTCCAGTTTATTTATCAGGGGCTCACAACGACATCCATTTATCGGTGCCTGAAAAGAGTCATACATTCACTGGCTACATCCTGCTGTCCTCTTGGTGCACTTGGAACATTATCACAGCCTCCCCGATCCAGTCACAGGCTCTTCTGTACCATATGCTGTATCTCACCCTCCTGATAACATCTTACAGTAGCTCAACAAACAGGCTATTAGTGAAAAAAGCACAGACTAGAAAAGGCTTGATGTGATTTACATGGATGCAGCCTAACACTCCACAGCATAGATTTTGCTGGGGCTACAAGCAGCCATGAGCTCAGCTCATGTATGCCCTGGTACTGTGTGCTGTGTGAGGGGATACCACATCACAGGCCTGCCCCCCATGTCTTGATGCTGCAGTTCTGAATTGAACCAAAAAAACCCCAGGTTTTGTGGATGTGTGTGGTTTTGTGTGCATTTTCTAACCTAATGACAATAATGTGCTCTTTTTGTTTGTTTTGGTGCTGTGTGGCTGCTCCTGCCTGCCTTCACCCTGCTGACTTTCAACTCACTTGTCCCAAGTCCCAAAGCACTTCTGCAAGGGGAGCTGCATGACCACATTTAAGTCTCTCAGGGAGCTGGTCACAAAGATTCTCCCTTAAGCAAGGACACCTGATTCTCTTTGGCTTCCTCTGCAGTCTGAAGGTGGAAATCTGCTCCTTCAGGGGGTGAGTCAGGAGCCCAAAGCAGCTGCTCTGAATCTGTCCGCAGAGGAGCCTCCTTCCCTCTCTCCTCTGGCCCTGCAGTACTGTTTCACAAATTGGGGATTATTCCCCTGGCAGGAAAAGGTGAGTGGTTTGCTGAGCACTAAAGAAAGCTTCAGAACTACAAGTACTCAAGAAAATCTGTTTGCTCTTCAGGGCCTGAGGGCATCAAAGACAACAGACCAGAGAGCGCCCTGTCATGTACTTCAAGAAATACTATGTAAGGGTGTCTAGCTCTATTAAGCTAATCTTTGTGAATAGATTACATTTGTACACAAATCCTATCTGCTCTCTGCACCTTTCTTCCTGCTCCCCAAGTCCCTCCTACCAGCCCATCCCCTCCTACCATCAGATCCCAGGGGCAGGGAGATACTCCTTTCAACATATGAAAGCTCCTGGTGGAGGAGCTTTCATTATCTCTCTTAGGACATATATTTCATATTCTTTTAGAATAATCCCATAGTGCCCATCTGGAAATTTTCCAAGCGTTACATAGGGAGATGGTGGAATATATGGCCAGTAAAACCTCTGAACTCTGCCTTGAGGGACCTTCAGAATCTGCTGAATTTTTTAACTACAGCAAGGGATGGAGGAGAGCTGGATGATGGCTATAAGAAGCTAAGGAAATGGAAGGATTGACCTCCCAGAGGTGCAGGAGGACAACATTAAGAACACAACAATACGAACATTTACAGCATCTCCAAGGTAATTTGCTGGTTTCATGCCTTTTTTTTAAATGTATGTGTACTGTTGAATACTTGCATAATAAAATGACAATCAGGCTCTAAACTGGAATAAATGCCCAGGAGCTGGTAACTCCGGGTGTATTTGTGAATCAGTTTCTGTACAGCTCCTGCCTCCATTAACCCTAGGATACCCAAAGATACACTGCAATGAACAGAAGCTTTTGGTTTAGGTAGTGAGCTTCAGTCCTCACCCACTGCTCTCATTTATTTTCCTTAGAAAAGGCCTTTGCAATCTTAATGTTTCAAAGCGTATCCTCAAAGTTCCAGTGTCATTTCCAGTCATCGGTCACACCGTATCTCCAAAAAGGAAATACTCTGTAGATCAAAACTAGTGAAGTATGTGTTCTTTTACCCGCACAAGCCCAGACTATTGTTTATCAGACTTCAGGCCAAAATGCTGCTGAAGCCCAAACAAGGAAAACAAACACACAGTCATGATGCTGTACCCCTGCGAGCGCAGTTAGTTGAGCTCATTCTCTGTTAGCTACCCGTGTCCTGACTCCAAGCGCTGCTCCCCGCATCCCGCTTCAGGAGGGCAGCAGCCAGCTCACCTGCATCACCTTCCCATCCTTCCCTCGGTAGAGCGTGTAGAGCTGGTAGGCTCGGACCTCGTGGGGAGGGGGTGGAGAGAAGCAGTGATGTTTACTTCTGCGCTTAGGCACGTTTTGCTGGGCCCGGGGGAGTGTCTGCTGGTCAGCTGGGGAGATAGGGTCTGAGAGTGCCGAGACCTGCAGGAAATACACACAACGTCTGCCCAGTTCAGGAGCCCCCCGGTGAACTTTCCCTGGTGGGAACAGGACAAACCCATCGTGACAATTACAGCAAAAACCTGGTTAAAACACCAGTCCAGCTGCAGTGCCTGGCCACAACTTTGATGTCTGTTGGCACAACAAGAAGATTTCCACACAAAGCTCGTGCCTGTGACGCTCAACAGCAGAATTTCCCCACCAGGGGTCTGTTTCGGTCTGAAGACTACTGCCTCTGCCCATGAGCAAGCATGGCAGGGCTGCTGCCCCGACTCACCAACATGCTGAACGGACAATGGAACTATTGCTCAACAACTATCCCTTCCCTCTGCTGTTTTAAACCTACTCGTACCTTTTCCTTTGGCTTTTTCTTTTTGCTCTTCTTCCCTTTTGGATCTGGTGAGGTTGACCGGGGTTCATCCTTCAGATTGCTCTTCTTCTGTGGTGGCTGGTCACTGCTTGGTGTGTCATCAGCAGCTGAGATGCTGCCCTGCTTGAAGCAAAGACAGGGGGTTCAGAGCAGTTGCAGAGATGGGGAAAAGGTGCCTTTTCTTCAGTTGCCCAGTTTCAAGCTGCTCTGCTCATGTTAATGGGCAACCCTTTAGCAGCACAGCACCACAGACTGCCTCAGACAGCTGCCGTGGTCATGCACAAGTGATGGCTCCAAATAGCTGTGGTCCTGATGGGGTTTATTTACACTCCCCCCCATCGCAGCAGATGTGGCTGGTAATGCAGGGCTGTACCTTGCTCTGTACCACTTCATCCCGTGGTACTGACTGAGCTCGCCTTTCCTCCTTGAGTCGCTCTCTCTTCTTCCTCAGGCTCCTTCCACGGTTAAAGCGTGAGACCTGAAGACAGACCACACTGTCACTCAGTGATGTCATGCTCTTTCCTACCACAGAAGCCAACTAATAGAGTAAACCTTATCAATCACCTCTGTCTGAAAGGCAATGGATAAAGGAGAGTGCGCTGCCAGATGGACAGTGATGGGCCAAGCACCGTGGGTGCCGACAGCTGTGAAAACACAGCACCACGAAGCCAAGTCTATCAGGGCACTTTGCTGTTCCCTGGAGGGGTAAGCACCTCCTGCGGCCTCCGGCTGGTTGCCAAGCCAAGCCCAGCCCTTCTCACTCAGAGGTAACAAGGAGGAGCAGGGCAGCAACCGTGCCTAGTCTCATACCTCTGACAGCACTTAACGCTGTGGAGGCTTTATCTGCACACCTTGCTTCGGTGTAGGGGCTGAAAGGCTCCACATCAACAGACCTGAGGCCAGCACACAATTCCGGCAGAAACACAGGCACCTTTCGCAGCAGAAGAGAATGTGACCTCTCAGGGTTAACTGGCCTTAGCTCCACATGTATGTGTGTGCTGGGGAGAGATCTGTAACATACCTGTGATGCTTTAGTGAGGAGGAGCGCAACCTCAGGGTTATTGTGCTGTCTGGCAACCTCTAGAGGGGTCTGACCTGCCTGAGAGGAAAAAGAAAATGGCATTTCCTTCAAAACAGAAGCTACTGGAAATGTGGGATTTCTCCACCCAGGGTTAGTACATGCTCTGTGCACATAAGTAAAGTTGACTAACTGCTTTCATTTACCCAGATTTAATTCAAGTCTAACACCCAAATATTTTCTACCAACACTATGAAGAGCGTTGAAGGTAGTCTGCATTAACATAAATTACCAATGAAACTCCATGTGCTGCTTACATTGTTGACAACGGATGCATCAGCCCCTGCCTCCAGCAGCAGCTTAACCACCTTCCTGTGATTGAGAGCAGCAGCTACATGGAGCGCAGTATCCCCTGCCTGCAAGTAAGAAAGCAGAGAACAACTGTGTAACACAAGTCTTTGGGTCTCACCCTGCAGAAATCACACCTCCCTAAAAGGGGCTCAGAGCTCAAAAGGCCTACAGTCACTGAGCTTAAATAAGGCCTGGTCAATAAGGAAAGCAGAATTAGGAGGAAGGGGACAGGAGGGGGCAGGAGCTACTTCAGGGCAAGGACCTGCTTCAGCCTGGTTTTGAGAAACGCAGCCAGGGCGCTGGTGATCTGGTTTAACTAAAACGAGTGATACACGATGCAGCTTGGAGGCAGCCCAGCTCTACTGCCAGCAAATGGATACGACATCTGAGGGCAGAACCGGTTTTCCCACCACATCCTTCTCTTTTTTTCCAGGTTTGATTATTTGGTGCACAGATGGTCAAGTGTCACGTTACTCAAAAGCAGCCAGGTAGGTACAAGCAGCGTGGTGGCCAGTGTTCCTTTCATGAGATTCCTCAAGAAAAACAGGTTTTGGATGAAAGCCAGGAGGTGATCCAGGTGCTGCATAACACGCTGCCCTGCCCTGCCCTTGTGCCAGTGTAGCCAGGTGTCTGCTGCAATCAGACTCAGGCGCTACTAACAGTACCAGCAGCTGTTCAAAGGAGACAGGGCACGTGTGCGTAATGCCCTCCTGTCCCCTTTGCCTTGCATTTTGCCTTCAGAAAATTAGATCTCCTTGAGACTAGTGGATGTCTACTGCTTGTTGCTGACTTGGGCGAGGTGTATTCATAAATAAAACCATTACATGTGCAAATATGGAACCACTTTGGGTAGTGCTGGGGAATGAAGCAAAGGGGTGGGTGTCTCTGCGGGCCAGGTTCACACTGGTTAATCTTAATATTCAGGAGCTCATTTTGCAAGTTTAAAAACTCATTTCCAAATAAAATTACACAGTAAATTTAACATACCGAAACCCTTTTTGTTTGGCGTAATATCTCATATCTAAGAAACAAGGCTAAATGTACAGATCAGAAAACATCTTTATGATCCTCAAATACACATGGAAAATTTCCCAGGAGCATGAGACGATGTGGTTAAGCACCACATAAGCTATTTATTTAGCAGATTTAATACATCTTAATGTACTAAATCCATTCCCTTCTACCACCCAATTAGGCTATGCTATAGATACAAAATCAATTACTTCTCTATAAAACAACCACGGATGATTAATCCTAGGTTAGATAGACCATTACTTTGAATTTAAAGCATATTTTTTCTTCACTTTTATGTCATTTCAATTCCCCCTACTGCAAAATGCAGCAAAGAAAATTATTCATAGGAATTTGCACTTTTGTAGTATCTGAATGTTAGGGAGTTCTGCTTCACAATGTCTCCATAATAGCCATAGGATCATTAAATCCTAGTTACAGAAGAGAAAATGGGCCCCCATAAAACAACTGAGTCTCTTGCCCAGTCCCATTCTGCACAGAACTGCTAAGGCCCCAGAAGCGCCAGCTCCTAACTCCATGTCACTACTGTCCCAGACCCCCTTCCTATACCAACATACGACTGCAGAACCTCATAAACAGGCAATGCTTTAAAGAAAATGATGCAAATGCGATGGCAAAATAATAAACCACTGATAAGCCACTACTTTAAGGCTGTTCTTAAAAGCATTTGGTGGTACAGTGAAACACAGAGTGAAGCGGGATTACCCGGGTAGGAATCCCTCTTCCCCACAACCAGCCATATGCAAAGGGCAAGAGAGTCACAATGAGGTTCATGCACTGACCTGGTTCTTTTCATGGACAGAACAGAAAGCACTGAGCAGCACCCTAATGATGGGCAAGTGATTATAACGAGCAGCCACATGCAGACAGGTATCTCCTGCCTGCAAACAGAAACAAAGCTCTGAGCATGTAATCGCAGTAGAAAAGCTTGCACTTGTCACGGCGCTCAGGGATGAAACAATCCTGTTAAACCAAAGAGAGCAGCAAGTGCCACACACCTCCACTGGACAGCAAGGCTGTCTTCTCTGCAGTACACAACCTGCTATCAGGAGTGGAGAGGTTTAGCAAGAGCTGGGGTCAGGCAAGCTGCGGGTACAAATTCTTTAACCACTGGTGGGACATACAGGTATTACAAAATGCTGCTTTCCTGCGCTTACAAAACTTGATCTCTATTTTCACATTAAATCTGTTCTTGTGAACCACAAACCATTGTGATTTGGAAGCTCAATGGTGTTGCACATAATGAATAAACATGGAAGCAGGGGCCAGAGCAGTGTTCCCAGGAGGGGTGGCACATGTGCAGCTGGCGCTGGGAGCAGAGCCTCATGGGTTTCACTTTGTGTGCCTCTGCCCACCTTGCTGTCAAGCAGGGACAAAAACATCTGGCTTCCTTCTCATTATAAAATAGGAGGAAAACTGTCTGAAACTGAAGTCACCTTCAATCTACCTCATTTGGCAGACGGACACACAGTACACATGATATGTCTCCGTGAGGGCAGGTCTGAAGACTTTCACTACTCTGGCATAAACCCCTTTTAAGTTTTCCATCTTTTTGAGAGAGGAACCCTTCTGCAGAACTGCACAACAGTGTATGGGTCATCACGACCCAGAAAAGCAGCAAAGGACCAGCTGCCTCGGTCTGTGCAACAGCAAAATCCCCTTTGGCTCCTTCCATCCCCACTCAAGAGATGGGGGTACAAGTAGTGCGTCGCTCAATCCTATCAAAACCATTCCTGTGCAGGATGCATACAATGGTTTGTTAGTGGAGTTTTCCAATAGCATTTATAATAAAGAACACGGCTGAAAGTATTTCTGAGTATTTCCATGAGTTAAAGTAACAGCTATAACAAAGGCACACAAAAATGAACACGTCCTTTTCAAAACTCACGTTGTTTTTGAGATCTGCTCGAGATCCTCCAAGTAATAAAACACGAGTACTCTGGGAATGGCTATTCTGGCAAGCCAGGTGAAGAGGGGTGTTACCTGCCTTAGAGAAACACAGGAGAATAGAAAAGTCGTGGTTAGAAATTGGACATGAGCACCAAAAAATAAAACCTCACAGCTCTTCCCACAAGAAGATCCACCCAAGAGCGAGATACTGTCACTGTTATTTTCCCAAAGATATGAACTGGATGAACCTGGAGACTGAAATACCCTCTTCGTCCTGTGAATTATTTATGTGGGATATAGTAAAGGCAGAAGTTGGACAGTCTAATGATACCTGCCTGGTCAAGTCTGTTTGCAGGAAGTAAAGAGTCTAGAAACTGTCTTGTTCATTAATATCAAACAGCATAATCAAGTATTTCACTTAAGGAAAGATAATTCTTGAGTTTAGGGTTTCCCGCATGCACACACACAAATAAACACGCTGCCATGGCAGGGCATCTCTGATCTCAAGCAGAGCTGGCCGTGATTGCTGCAAGGTGTTAGGCAGATGAGGGTTACAACCATTTCTGTTTCCTTACGATTGTAGCACAAACAAGCTCTAAGTCTGGTGGGTCTCTGGGCGCTCTCACAGGTCAGGATGCAGACTTTAAGCTATTGTGAAGCTCCAATGTTCAAAAAGCATGCCAGTGTCCAGCCACGATGAGAAGGGGGGGGGGAAAAGCCACCCAACCCCCAGAGAATGACATGCTAAGATTCCTGAAAGAAGCAAACATGCAGCTTTCATGGAGAGAAATCAAAGAAAAGTTTGCTTGTCTATTGTCTTTCTAGCACTGTGAAGCATTTTATCAGTCTGACAAGTTTTTCTGGCAGCATTTGGCTTTTGTTGGCTTGAAATTGTTTGGGATTTTTGGCTCTTGGGAGCTAGAAATGAAATCAGCTCAGGTAAATAGGTTTCCCATGCTTACTAGGCTGCCTGTTCACCTTGATTATGTCCTTTAACTTGTTCCCTGTGCTTTCAAGACACACATCAAAGCTGCAGGGCTTGAATTACCAACAGCCAATTCTTAGATGTGCTCTTCGGTCTTCAGTTCCACATTATAGACCATTTCAGGCCTGAATGTAGTCTCTAAGCTGTTGCAGACACAAACATTTTCTTTCTTAGCTAAGCTGCATTTAAGTGTCAATTTTTTCCCTCATGAGTGTATTGCCTCTGCAATGTCTTTATCATCTGGTGTTTGGAAGGTCCCTGGTGTGAAGGCAGAGAGCTCCTGAGCAGTAGGTGAGGGATGAGGAGCTCCATGCTGGGAGAAGTCATGGTGCTGGTGCCTAGGGCCAGGGCTCACAGAGCATCCTCATGTAGCTCTTTGCCCACGGAGTGACCAATCTCTCACCAGTTTCCTTTGAGAGGGAGAGTGGGCCGAGTTGTACCAATCTGAGGGTCTTCACTGCTCTAACTAACTCTTCGCTATAACATACAGATTGATGGAGGATCTACAGAGAAGGCTACAACTGATCTCACAAGATGATCTACTACAGCAGAAGAGTTTATTGAGCCAACTTGAGGAATACGGCTACCCAGGTAGTTTACTCATGTGCTGTCCCTTCTTCTAATGCCTGCCTGACTTGCTTTTAAAACTCGCCTTTAAACTCCTACGTCTCCTGTCAGGCCTCTGCATTTCACTTCAATGAGTGAAATTGAAGATTGGAGCCACCTTCAATTGCACTGCTCCTATATATACTGTGCTCAAGGTGCTGTGCTGCAAGGAGTGCCTCTGTCCAAGTGTTCCCAGGACATATCAACCAGGAGTTACAGAATATATAGACTCAAAACTTCTGCTGCTTAGCAGGGTTTGGCAAGTCTAACAGCCTGTATCTGTCCCAAACAGCCAAAAATTGCATGATGCTCAGGTCTAAGTCAATAACCTGCCTGTAGGATGATCCTATAGGATGACACTCAGCCCTGGCTGCCAGAAAAGCTGTCTGAAAGATTATGCCTAGTCATCAGTAACATAAAAATTCGAGAGACCAGAGAAAACATTTTGGGATTAAATAGAGTTAAGCTCTTCTTCTGTCTTGAAATCAAAAGGGGTAGAAGCACGTGCATGTGTGCAAGCATGCACGATAACTGCATTTTTCAGCAGCTCCTGAGAAAAGATCCTGTCCATTAAAAAATACACAAACAGTGAAATGCAAAGAAAGAGGATGTCTTACCCCGTGGGTAAGACATCAGAGACCAGCACAGGAGCTGGTCATACAGTATTAAAGTCTGCCAGTCAGGTATCAACCCTGCAGAGCTATTCTGTGCACGTGCTTTCAGAGAGAGGTTGTTTCCAGTTGAGAGAGGCTGTACTGCAAGCTAAGGCTTCTACTACCTGGAGGCACCTAAGCATGCCTGATAACCAGGCTTGCATCTTAAGCCCGCACCTTTGTAGAGAAGTATAACGGTTCACAAGACTAAAGCCAAGCATGGGAAGTTGCCTAAAGTACCTTTGATACAAAACTAGGTGAACATTACCACAAAAATAATTACACAAAATAAAAATTGGGAGTTGGAACAATACAGAAGCAGGAATACACATAAAACGTTATCAAAGATGATGTAATTACAGACCACAGAGTGACCGATATTGTACACATACATGTGCACATACAGAAACACTATGCCCAGGCAACGTGCCTTTTTACTCAAAATCTTAAGACTTTGGCCAGCTGTCTCCCTCTCAGTTGCTGTTTTAGAGACATATTTACCAAGACATGCTCAGAGATCCCACACAGCCAGCCCAAAGCCCTCTCATCTGCAACGAAGGACACGGTGCCAACCATGCAATCTGACCGACCTGTCAGCACAGTCGTCCAAACCTCAGCTCAGCTCACACCATTGGCTGCTACTGCCATATCCCAGACTATTCCATTGATTTCTGAATTACTGAATTGAAGTCTCCACAGGTTTTACAATTGGAGTGGAACTGAAACCTCTTGGCTTTGTCATTCTTTCCTCTAAACTGCTCTCAAGGTATCATGAATACTAAAAGGGACATAATCCAGGTTCATTACAAGATTTTGGTAAGAGCCTACACTAATACATTAGGAAGAACTTTCTAACAAAAGATAAGCTATTTTTCCCCCCTCTGTGGGTTACATTCCTTTGGCTGTTTAAATCCAAAAAAAAAAAAAAAAAAGAAAAAAGGATTGGATTTTGAAAGCCATTTTCCTGTTAGTACAATTCATTTTCATTTTAAATCACACCAGGCACTGTGAGTACACTTGGTATAAATTAGAGCACCATGGAGATTTCCACAGGAATTGCAGTGTTCCTCAGCTGTAATTAATGCATCATTCAACACACTATTGAGTTCCTCCTGCATCAGCTGTCAAAATATGAATTCCCCAATGCCTGCTGAGGGACCATCCAGGCGTAATAAATGCAAAAACAGAAGAAAAAGAATCCCACTCAGCATGTCCCCCACCCACTGAGAAATGCCATGGCCAGACATTTCCAGGGCTGAGCATCAGCCACTGTACACTAGAACTGAAAGCTCCTCCTGCATGGGTCTCACCTTGTTCTTGGCAAGAACGTTGGCTCCTGCTTTAACGAGCACTTTGGCAGACTGACTGAATCCATGCCAACAAGCTTCGTGAAGAGCAGTGTTCCCATCCTGCAGAGCACACACACGAGGAGAAGGTTAGTGTGCTGTGTCCACCACACGCAGAGTAACGTTACATTTAGAGCACAGCAGCTGCGCACCCCACTGCTCTCCTTACAAGTAAAAACATTTTCCTTTCCTACCAGTTCATTTTCTATTTTATTTTTACAAGAGGGTAAAAACATTATTTCTTTCATTGGAACTTGGAATTAGTTATACTTACTCCACAACTAAATTTACAGCCTGGGATTCTCAGTTTCTAGGATAATCAAGGGAAACTGCAGTGTTTTACGTAGGGTATAGTATGGTTGTACATTAATTTCTCCCTTAAGGAGCTGAGAACAGACTCTTAAACTAAAAACTACCATAGAATCACAGAATGGTTTGGGTTGGAAGGGACCTTAAAGAACATCCAGTTCCAACCCCCTGCCATGGGCAGGGACACCTTCCACTAGACCAGGCTGCTCAAAGGCCCATCAGCCTGATATAAAAAAAATAACTAAATCAGTAATTCATATGGAAAAGACGTAACAGTGTTTTTACACTGTAACTGTTCCAATTACTTACTTTCAAAGCATCAGATACTCACGAATATAAATCTCAACTTTATTTCTGAGACCTTAGTATTACTGGCTGGTAAGGCTGCAATCCCACAGGGCTTTGCTTTTGCCTGTTACCTTGTCTTGTCTGTCCAAAGCACAGCCCTCTTGAATCAGAGTTGCTATAACATCGGTGTTCCCTACAACAGCAGCCCGGTGCAATGCTGTCTGATCACCCTGCAAAAGAAGCAAGTTTATGATCAGTACCATTCCAACCTCATTTTGACTCAACACAAACGCATACAACACACACAGGGGCTGCATCCTCAACACAGGCAGTGTTTCAATTCAAGCTGCCTTTGAAAACAGTCCTTGTAAACAACTATCCTTAAAGTTGCTAAGATTAATGAAGTTATTGAAAGTATTAGAGAGCTGCAAACCAACTGTTTAGAGAAGACTGCAAGTCATCACAATCCCACATACAGCTCTGAAGTGCACCAAAACCATGGTAGTATTAGAAGGCAGTGAATCTAAGACATTTGGCACAATGTGTCTAATAATCAACAGTATCTGTAGGGAACTAAAGGGAATTACAGGCTGCTGTAATTCATCATAATGATCAGCCTCCAGTACTTTCACTAACTGGATGAGGCTCTCCTGTTTTGGCTCTGACTGCTACATTAGCCCTGCTTAGGATAAGGAGCATGACGCGAGAGTGGTCGCTTCAGCACCTCTGATGAATTTACCAATTAGTGCTAACAGAGGAGGCAATTTTGTGATGAAGACCACAACTGCGAGACCATCAACTTGAAGCAACTGAGCAATCTTGAGGTCCAAACGACTTTCATTTCGCATTGACTGGCCACGTAACAGCAAGAAGCAAGCTTCTTACATCAGTTTATTTCTTTTGTGGCCAAGCTCCCAAAGAAATTATGCTGATGTCTGACTGCCCCCCTAATGCCTGTTGAGCTCATTTGCTGAGCTATAAAGCCCAAGATTAATTTTCTACAAGCCTTTCAGAACCTGAAGCCTAGCAAGACACGAACTACTGGTCCTACCTGTCTGGGGTTACCTATGTATTTTTATGTACATGTTGGAGAGACCATGATAAAAGAAAGGGAATGGGAGGATTTATGCAGCAGCCTATAAGTTAGCCTATAAGTAAGCCACCAAATGAGCTGCAGTAGCTCCACTGCTGCCACAACAACAGGCCTTGGCTTTCCTTTGAATATGCTTTGAACTTGAAATGCTGAAGCACAGCCTGAGTCCAGGCACAAAGACTTGGCTTCAAAGCTGCACACAGCCTTTTTTGGGGATGAATAAACGGGGTAGGAATCCAATCCACTTCTGCTGATCTAGATAATGGTCACCAAAAACCCACACAGGGCAGAGATACACAGTGTATCCTGAGGAAGAAAAGCCTGCAGGAAGCTAGTCCTAAATAGACTCAAAATTTCTCTGCTACAAATCTTTATCAGATGACACCACATTATAATAAATACTAAAACTAGAGGAATTTCTATATTTTCTGTCCTACAGTCTGCAACTCTTCAGATAACTGAATAATTTGGATAATTTGTTCTCAAAGGCAATTAACAGCTGACTTTAAAATTGCTCTTGGTGGGGTTCTTTTGTGTTAATGACACCAAAATAGTTATTAATCCTTAAGGGAAAATCAGCATTGCCAAACACAACCTTCCAGTAACCCCTGTAATGCCAACCCCTGCCACCAGTAAATCATTAAATTGGCTTATAATCAGGAAGTTGATTTGAAAAAATCGTGTTGAAGGTTTTTTGTTTAAATTTGCTATCTACGTGTTGTCTCTAGAGGTTACGTACTCTTATTTTTGTTCTTGTCCCTATTAAGACTGGAAATGTGTTTTAAGAGATTTTGAATAAAAAGACACTAATTGTTGCAGGAACTGGGACTTTCAGACAAACACAAAGTATTGGAAAACTGACAACACTGCAAGTTCTCTGAACTTGTGTATCTGCTCCACATTTAAAGCTGACCAAAATGTTATGGAAAAGGTCCAAATTACACCATCTCACAAGTGGAAGCATCAGTTTCCAGTAACTATTACTACACAACTCTGCTTGTTAACAAGCTGGGCAAGAACTTATAATCCTTTTTTGCTAATGCATGGTACTGATAACAATAGGTACTGCTACTGCAGCAGTGGGTAATGTGGACAGTGCAAAGGTCATTTTAGCTGACTACCATGAAGTGGAAAGTAATCCATCAACCTACCCCTGCCAACTGGTACTGCTGCACCAGCAAAACTACAGAAAATATTACAATAAAGACTAAAACAAGACGCCACCTGTCACTGCGATGGATGGAGCTCGAACAATGAATGGTTGGTTCCTACTTCTTTAAAGTCAGGAAAATTGATCGTGGAAGAGACCAAACTGGAGGCAGGAACAGACTGTACTGGATTTAGTTTATAATTAAGGGTCTTTTTGCTTGGCTAGTTTAAAGGCTGTTCTTGCTCTTAGCCCAACCCCATCACAGTAATTGGAGCAAGGGCAAAGGCCGTTCAGCTTTTTGGGGTTTGGCAATACGACAGCTATGTCTAATGGCATCTCAGTTACATTAAAAACAAGCACATATTTGGAAAGCAGGAAGCACACCTTGTTGCTCCCTTGGGGAGCCCTGCCCATGCGCTGGGGGACCATTCACTTGGACTGCCAAGCAGCACAGGGACAGCTTTAGCCATGCCCAGGCTTTGTCCCATACTATATTCCATTCCCCAGAGTGGAAGCTTGGGCAGGTGAAGGGAAACAAGTCCCGCAAATGGCAGGCTCAGGTGCTTCCTGCCCAGGTATGGGCTTTGTTGCTGACATCCTTCCTATGCAAGCATGGGGAGAGCCAAGCACCTAAGAGTAAGATCCAACCAGCACCCTGATCAGCTAAATAAACACCTCATCCATGTAACAAGGAGTGTCACAGGATATCTCAAACCCTGCCTCACCCGCACCAAGGCTCCTCCCAGTGAAGACAAGGCAGGTATCAATGTCCTGGAGAAGGTCCCTACACCCCCAGGCCCCTCAGCACACATATGAACCCTTAAACTGCTTAAGGTGCTGTGGAAGCGGAGCCACTAGATTGTGATGGCCTCTGCACGTGAGTCACTGAGCACCCAGCCACAGGCGCAGTAGCCCACCTATAAGTAACGCTGCCTGCACTGCTGTGTTTCTAACCTACCTTGCCTCCCCTGCAGCAGAGGAACAAACCCCTATCTTGCCTCTTACGGAGTCAGAGAAAACAGATGACATATTTTTCACAGCGTGAATTTTCAGTCAGTGTAATCAATGACTCTTTTTATTAATTGCTAAAATAACTGTTTCTGAAAGCACTCATCAGAGTTCTGCCTTTAGCAAGGCATTAGGGGGCTGTTGCAGAGGCTCAGAGCACAATTACACCGGTAAATGTGTATTAACTGCCCAGACTATTATGTTGGGCACAATTTATGATGCTATTTGTAAGTGATTTATTCCTGAGGAACAGACTGCAGATCAGTAGCAATGGAGAGAGGTAACATCTCTGCTGTGTCATGCAAACATGACCTTGACAGAAACAACAGTCTGCCTAAATGCAGGTGTGGGCCTGAAGCCAAAAAGACACTTAGGTGCTTAAGTGAGGCTTGGTAGAAGTAAGGCACTTAAGTCTATACTGGTGCATCTTAAATCCCCTTCCTAGCCTTGAAAGCAACTCAAACTCAAGCATTTTCACCACAATGCCCCAGACATCTCAGCTTGCACAGGTCACTGCAGCCATGGTGGCACCAATGAGATCACCACGTAGCACGTGCCCTACCCTGCCACAGCCCCTAATGCACGCATCTCCCTCCTCTCTCTCACTCTGTGAGCACCCTTCTTTCATGCTTGCTCAAAGAAGCTCCATGCAAGTTGCAGGTATGCCCACCACCCTTTGAAATAAGGTGGCGATGGAGGTGGCCACTGGCTCTTCTGCAGCAGCCCATAGGTTATAAGGTACTTGCCCAGCCTGACCTGCCGTGAAAGTACTGCCTGCTGAAACAGTACTGAGAGTACTGTTGGAAGAGCTCTGCTTTTAAGGAAAAAGTTGGTATTCATGGGGCTGGAGAGAGGGAGACACTAGAAGACTGGGATAGGAATCTGCATTCCTATCTGCTGCAGTGGATGTGAGACTGCACATCCTGAGAGCTCTACCTGCAACTGGTCCGTTGCACCAGCAGGTACGTTTCCAAAGGATGAAACCATGCTTTGTACAGAGAGTTTAAACACCTGCTTTCAGGGGAGGGTTACAGGCTGGGACTCCTGAAGAAAGGCAGATACCTAAATCATAGAATCACAGAATAGTTAGGATTGGAAAGGACCTTAAGATCATCTAGTTCCAACCCCCCTGCCATCTTGATCTTCTCTATGGATTACGGCGCTACTCTTTCCTGTAGCACTTCTATGTTGGTTAGGCTGGTGTCACTTGCTCAGTGTCCTGGTATTTGCAATTACTTCCTCAAGTTTCCTCATTTACTGACTAAATTAAAGCAGTGGATACAGCCACTGGGACCAGGCACCTGGGAACTGGATAGGCATCTATTTTACATCTGAAGTTCACCCCAAGGGAAGGGAAATAACAACTTACAAAGGGGTTTCAGGAAGCTATTACACATCCTGCCAGCAATCCTGGGTTACTGGAGTCTCTATTATAGACTCTAGTGCCCAAATCTAATGAAATTTGGTTTACAGTGGTTTGCAATACATATTACTTTTTCTTCTCTCCGATTTAAAAAAACTAATACCATAACCACTATACTTTGTTTTCCTACGCACTCCTATTCTCCAGAGCATCCATCAGTTGTACAATCTCCTTTAAAGCCCCTCTCCAGGGTCACACTTTGCCTCCTCATTGTCTTTCCATGTTTGCAGAAATCACAAAAAAACCCCTGTCTTGCTACAGGAGAATTGCACCAAAACAAACTCATGCCTTCAATCCCCAGTACAAAGTGCAGGATGGCACTTATACTACAAAATCAAACCACTAAATTCATGGTAGAAAGTTCAAAATACAGCCAAGCATTGAATCCTTTCAGGAGCATACAAGCATACATGGACATTTTGAAGCAGCTGGCACAAAGGCAATTGAATCATGTGTCCTAGTGTTCCCTAGTGTCACTGTGCTGCTCTCCTCCTCCTCTGCTGAAGAAAAGCATTCATCATGACACACAGCACACTACTTCACCCTGAATGATAAATGATGATGCATGACCAGCAGAAGTAATCAAGGCATGAAAAAACAATCACAAATGAAACAGATTACAGCTTAAATGAGACTGAAATGGGAATACAGGAATAAGCCACTTCACATATTTACATTCAGCTAGAAATGATTATGAACTGTGGGTTACTGTTCCATGTGAAATTCATTTTCTGCTTCTTAAACTGGAGCTTCCAGAAGGGAAGTTTCGGGGCCTCGGGCCTGTATTTTAAATCAACTTGTTTTCCCAGTTAGGATTTTTAGAGAGCACATAGAGGGCAGGAGACCTGCTGCAGAGCACCCAGCGCAAAGCCTGCCATGCAGTCATGCATCGCAAAAGAGCTCAGTCATGCCAGACCACCGGGCCAAGGTTTCGCAGCATGCAGCCGTGCGAGACATCAAGCTCAGGCAGGGTTGATGCACAAGGTTTCTAACCTCCTTCTCTCTTTCTGATCTTCTAGGTTCCTTCCTAGCCTTTCTCTTCTGGTTTTTCTTATCTTTTTCGTCCTTGATTTCCTTCACCGGCACAACTTTCTCCTTGACTATTTCTGAGGTGTGTGCTGTGTGGATGCTCATTGACCATTCAGAAATAGCATTGGGATCCCAGTAAGAGTTTTCAGTATTGGCAGGGAGAAGGAAGGAGTTAGCTCCCGGGGTGGCATACTCTACAGAGCTGGACTCCACCGGTTGAAATTCATAATAATCCCACTCCAAGCCACTGGAGGTCATTCTTCAACTAATTCTTACAGCTCTTACCGTGGTTTAAAGAATTTATCTGTAGAACATGAAGTGAGTGTTTTAATCTCTCCACAACAGTTAGCAACTTCCAACAAGTTTCTGCTTATCATGTGGCAGGTTAAAAGTTAGTCTTGCATTCATCCATCAGCTAAAGAGAGTCAACTCCAAAATAACATGTGCTTAGGTTTCTCTTGTTATTTAGAAAAACAAAATCTAGGTCATTTTTTTAGAAACTGGAGATGTTACCACAACAATGCCACAGACAAAAATCAACTAAGTAATGTACTTTTCAATTAAATATGATACTACCCACTCTTGTGAGCGATTTAGTCTCTGGACCTAAAACTGTATTCCTGAAAAACAGCAATTAAACATATAGATGTTAATCAACATTGAAACTAAGATGCCCTCACTGCCAAATAAGCACACAGTAAAAGTGACCGAAGGCATCATCAATAGATGTCAACTAAAACAGAATACAAATATATTCTGTGGGGCATAAATAAAGAGTAAAAATTAATTTTATACGTTGAAACAATAAATACAGAACCTTTTTGAAAACCTAGGTAAATGGAAAGCAGAAATATTTTAGTTAATACCTTTCACAAGCAAAAATCTTCACTTGGAGTTTTAGCCTTCCCCCTCTTCTAAGACAAATCCACACACACCGTCTGAGACTCTGCAACTCCTGAGGCACTCCCTCAAATCCAACCAAATTACTAGTACTAAACACAGAGCTAAAATCTAAATACATTTTAAAGAGACAGCATCTGTGAATCAAGCATGCATCTATTCTATTCAGATTAGTCACCACATTTAGAAGCAGTATGCAGCTGCTGTGAACAAAACCCCTGCAAAGCTTGCAAGGCAAGTAAAATAGGGCTTCTACAAGTTAAGCACTTCTCTAGTGCAAGACTCTTTGCTAAACCAAAATGATGCTATACACTGATTTACTGTTTCTCCATTATGGGTATCACATTTACATATAAACAGCCTAGATTTTATTCCTAGCGGATTACAAAAAACCCAGACTTACTCAAAGAACAGTTTTCACAGAAACCCAATTTGACCAAATTGGTGGAAGCTCTTTCATTCTTGGAGCAACACTTGCTCTTCTCAGGAAAACTGACAGTACTTGTAAACCAGCTACAATATGTCTTAAATATCTGATGAATCATTTTTGCAGGGAGAAGTCAAAAAATATACTCAGGATACATATGAATAAACTGATACTCACATTACACTTGCAAATCTGCTCCATTTCACACACAGGGAAAGAATAAAGAGCACAGGAAGCAAAGTTTCTTCCTAGAAAAACAAGATTCCCAGTAGCAAGCTATACCTGTAGCCTGGGGTACAGGCTGTACCTGTACCCCAGTCCTAAGCTTGTGAGACAGACAGCTCACATCTCACAGGGAAGCAGCTAGTCATGCGGAGAAGAAAACCAGTTTTCCAATTTCTACAGATATTTAAGACTCTCTAGATGCATACAAATGCCTGAGGGGATTTTCAAAAGGCACCTAGACATTTTCACTGTATTTTTAGCAGTCATACAAATGCCTCACCATTGGACCTCTAGGTCCTTTGAAGAATCTTCATCTTACTTATTACAGGGGGAACAAAAGCAACCCTTCCTCAAACTTGTTCCAGCGTACTATTAGAAGTTAGCAACGAGTCTGAAGAAGTCATGGTTTCATGGTTATTCAACTGCTGTTGTGTATTTCAGCCTCCACCTTTGTTCATCACAGTGAGATAACTAAAACCACGTTACTAGTCACTCCAATATGCCTTTAAGCCTGGTCCAAGATCAAAACTATTCTTACAGAAAACTGAGAAATTCCACTAAATTACATATTTTACCAAATGAAAACAAACTACCATTTGCTAAATTCAAAGCTGTTTTCTTTGTGCTGATGCTTCACCACAAAACAGCCTCACAGATGTAACCATCCCCACTTTGAGTACAGCTGACAACAAGATGATTTCCCTGTGACACTGCACAGAGCTCCAGACAGCTGCTCAATACTCTACTTGCTGTGGCATGTGTCTACGCAAAAGCATCTCCCACTTCAGGCAAACATCACAACAGATCATGTCCCCTACCTGACACCCTCCAGTGGGTTCCCACAGAGTACAGCGAGCTCTTACTTCATTCCTACACCAAGTGGCAGACAACGACTCTCACTACTACTTACACCCGGCACAACCAGAGCTCTCATAAAGCTCTGCAGCTTGATCAAGAGGACCAAGCTATTCACTGAAAACCACCCTGTTTTACATTGTCTCCCATGCAGTTTTACATCTCCAATTTAGAAAACAGAGAAACAGATTTTGTTTTCATTTAATCCTACTTCAAAGAAGTGACCATCTACTGTTACTTGCAAATTACCTTTTCCCCTCCACCCCAAGCAAGAAGGTTGTATCTACTTACATCATCCTGAATGTCCAGGTCACAACCTGCCTTCAACAAAACCTGGACAACATGGAGATGACCCTTGTGGGCAGCAAGATGCAGGGGCGTCCGGCCATGCTATGAACGTGAAGAAAATAGTGGTAATTTAAGATCAATTTTTGTGCATGGTAGTTAAGCAGAATTTTTATCTGCTTTCCCTTGTTCTTCTGTTCATACCTCACTCTCTGAAACCTGCAATAGCAGCAGCTGACATATATTAGTGTACCAAAGGCCTTCCCTTAGTTTTGTGTATGTTGAAAACTCCTCCTCCCCCTTCTCTAACATTTCAGTTTATCCCAATGATAATCCACATGATATTCATGTAAGCATACTCCCTTCAAATTTGGATTTGGCTTTGTTATCCATGCCTAAAGAGAACTCATGACCCATTGTTTCTTTCCCCCTGGAATGCAAAATTGTCAACCACTTCCAGCTTCACCCAGTAGGACCAAGTTGCAATAGCAGCGGGCTAATTCATATACTGTAATGGGTACCATCTTTGCAATAGGAATTAGACTTGATGAACTGTCGTGTATGACGGATGCTCTCCTTAAAAGGAATGGAAAACCTGTAGTTGCTCCCAGTGACTTCATATGTACAACAACCAACCTCCTTTTGCCAAAGATCTATTAGGTTGTTTTAGATAAACCTTATTTTTAAACATTACAAAGGTCTAAGCCACAGGAAAGTAAGGGTATAAAAAAGTCATGAGAAATTCAATTTATAGTGTAATTAAGGACCTTTTTCCCAATAAACAGAAGGACAGAAACACTTTAATTAATGAGATGGATACATGTTGTGTTGTTTTAGGAGAAAAAACAAAGATTGAAATTTGACAGTAAAATCAATTAAAATTAAAAACAAACAAACAAATGAACGAACAACAACAAACCAACACCCCCCAACAAATGGGTTCAAAAAGAATCTAAAGTGAAATGAGAAGAACAATAGTTACTTGTAGCTGAGCACCACTTGATCATCCTTTGACAGATTTTAAAATGAAATATTTCAGGAAGTGGGGAACACGTTGCTTCTCCTAAAAGAGGCATAAGAATTGAGACTGAGAGAGGGAAGAGATTTTAAGAGGTAGTCTGGACAACAGAGAAGAGCTATAACAAGCCATTCCCTAAACATTTAAGCCATACAATCTGAAAAACTCAGAAGGGAGAATCAAGAATTCCTTCTCTAGGAAGTGTATGTGTGTATGTATCTATATATATGAAATCTCAAAACATCAACATGAAAAGCAAGTGAAACACCTTAAGAATTGTTAAACAGCAACACTCCAAAACTGTTCATTGCAAATTTTCTTTCATTGCAATTAAGAAAACAGGATTCCAGCCATTGCTAAAATCAGAGTATCTTCACAAAGAATTCCATTTTCTCCACTAGGAATTTTATGAGATAAAGAGGAGTTACATTATTCTTCACCTGTATCTATTCTACATATCTATTTCTCCATTACCATAGCTATTTTCTGTTTTTCTACCCAATGATTTAACGTGCAAAGGAAGATAATCGGCCCTAATCTATCACCTACAGAAGGAGAAAACACCTGAAGAGCTGACTGACTGCTAGGGGCCTGAAGTAAGTAGAAGGCAACCATCAACTCCCTGAGGTTTTAAGCAACTTCTCTAGCAGGAAAGCTTCTTCAGGTAAATAAAAGCACAAACTCAAGGCAGGGTTACATTCACACAGCAAATCCCAAACTTGCATAGCTGGTAAAGCCATGGGAATTCAGCCTCTTCAGAGCAAAAACGAAAACCAGTGCACCCACAGAATGGCTGGGAACAAAATGTCCATGTCATTACTGAGTAGCTGTGCAATGCTTCGAAAACATTAAACATTGATTAATTCTCCTGCATTAACATTGATTAATTGTCCTACATTATCGATCTGAAGGGATAGATCTAAGGGAGAAGTCCTTACCCACTCTGACACACGGGTCTCAAAACCCCAATGTTGGCTCTTGTTAGCAGCAGCTTCTTCCCATGTGGGGAACTTCCACACCTGCCCTGCCGAAGGCATGGGAAGAGCTCGCTTTTGGCTGTCACCACTGTCCCTGGGTGCCATCCAGCCTGCTGCCTGGGGGCTTCTTGCTTGACCTGGTCACAGGTCCCTGAATGTCTGCCCCTTCTGTGAAGGGCACCGAGCCGCACCGAGCACAGCTCCTTCTCCATCAGCCTGGAGGAGAGCCAGGGCTATGTCACTGTTCTGGGTAACTCAATAGCAAGCAGTATAAAAGCCTCCAGGCAACGCGGGGGAAAAAGTTAAAACGAGAAAGGGGGGAAAAAAAAGACAAGCCAGATTGACAAATCATTCCGGGATATGAACAATATGTTTGGATTATGAATATGTGCTCCAGCATGTTCATGGTTATGGGTTCAGACTTTCCACATTACTTAATGGCAATAAGTAAATCACCTAATCCAGGCCTTTCCCTTTCTGGCAGGTTACTAATATATCATGAAAACAAATAATTGCCATCTGTGCACAGAGCAGAAAAAAATCCCAGAGAAACCCAACTTGAAGCCAGCCCCTGTACTTGAAAAGGAAAACATTAATATATCCCAGCAGGGAAACTTTCTGATAAGATAATCATCTCTAACCACTGAAAAAATGCTGACATGCAGCCAAAGGTACTTTGCTAAAAGTGAACTATGAAAACAAGAGTGTATTTCAATACGACCGACAGGTTTTCCCCACCCAAGACACCTTCCTAGGTGATCACCAAAGAGAGTGATCACATAGGAAGCACAAGAAAAGAAGATCTGGATCAAATGACCTTCACATGCCCATTCAGTGCCTTAAGACACATTAAAATAAAGCCACCCTAGGGAACAGGCTTATCTGAAGGAGGCCCCAGGGAGCACCAAGTTCTCCTGTCACTAGGACCAACCTGTCCCACATCCTCAATGGTCAGCCTTCCCATGCTCATGGCCAGCTACAGGAGATGGGTGCCAGAGGAGGAGAGGGTACTTGCTGGAGAGCTGCAAGCGAGGGCTACTTGGCTGTTCCTCTCACTCAGCAGAGATTCACCTTAACTGTGCATTTCCACTACCATCATCCCCAAGTGTTCAGTAACTTCAGCCAAGTTCCCAAACCCCAGGGTTTTGTTTTTAAAAAAAAAAAAAAAAATTACAAAAAAGCATTACTGAAACAGAAAAATAAAGGATTCTTTTCATTCCAGAGAGTTTGTGTGGAGATTCTCTACCCAAAAACAGTTTCAGAGGCATTCCACCTATTGAAGACTCCTAAAGACCTTCAGAGACCAGAGCTATTGCACACCTGAAGTCCTTGAGCTCTTCCCACTACAAAGGGACTATAAATGAAAACTGACTGTAATGAGGACGGGAGAGTGGGAAGGAGGATCAATTCCAGCACATTACACTGATTAGAGGCTCGGGCTTTTGGAAAAGCACCGATCATCTGAAGATTAATCATAACTCTGCAAGAACTGACACTGCCAGATTTTCTTTTTCTTCCCAGTAACATCAAAATGAGAGCAGAGATGGGCAGTACAGCTGGACAGTGTTCCAGTACAGGCAATGGGAACAGTGGAAAAACACTCCCACCCACCTCCCCACACAACATACACATACGTGCACAGGTATGTAAGTACATAGGGCATGCGTACACTAATCCAGAACAAACTGTGAGGGAGAGGCAAGGTAACTGGGGTGCCCCTCATGCTGTGATAAGAAACCTGGAGCACAGCAAGCTTTGGAGATAAATGTTCAATGGATCCAGGCTACAGCGGGAAGCCCCAGCAGCAACAGTCAGAGCTGCTTGTGTCTTCATGTTTCTAAGTCAAATCAACAGCCCACAAAGTTTTACTCTCACAATAATGCATCCTACCCAAAATATTTTGGGGCAAAAGAGATGAAAGCAGACACACAAATTTCACTCTGCATGTCTCTTTCTCAAACACATTTCACACTCACCACTGCAGCACCAAAGAGTGGGTTTATCTGAATACACACATGGGTCCTAGTGGGAAAAGAAACATACAGAATCACAGAATGGTTTGGGTTGGAAAGGACCTTAAAGATCACCCATTTTCAATCCCCTGCCATGGGCAGGGACACCTTCCACTAGACCAGGTTGGTCAAAGCCCCTATGTCCAACCTGGCCTTGAACACTGCCAGCGATGGGGCAGGCACAGCTTCCCGGGGCACCCTGTGCCAGTGCCTCACCACCCTCACAGGGAAGAACTTCTTCCTAATGTCCAACCTAAACCTACCCTCTTTCAGTTTAAAGCCGTTACCCCTTGTCCCGTCCCTACATGCCCTTGTAAAAAGTCCCTCTCCAGCTTTCTCGTAGGCCCCCTTTAGGTACTGGAAGCTGCTCTAAGGTCTCCCTGAACAAGAATATACAAATGTCTCCTAGATGCTTATTGCAAGCAGACCCTAAACCCAGGGACTGCTTAACATGCAGATTATGGACTTAAAAGCTTCTGAGCATTTACAAACATCAACTGTAACAGCTTGGAGGGTTATTACAGAAATACAAATGAGAGACTGCTGCAACTTGGGATTAATGAACCAATAAAGCACTCATTCATATAAAAAAAATACGTAATTTGGACTTCTATTCAAATGTATAGAAATGCTCCAGCGGGCAACAAATCATGCAAATGCTCCTGTGCCACAGGCTTATTGACAAAATAAATGGGACTACGTTGCACTAAGGCTGCAACTTCAACAACCCCGACACGCTGCTATAGCTGTGGGGAGTATCAGGTTGCAGGCAAGCACAGTAAACAGCGGCATGAACTGCAGCAGTAAAATGCGAGGGGAGGGCTTGTGTTTGTATTTAATCTGCAGTCTGACTTCCAGGCATTGACAGGCAGCTGTTGATACATACCATTTAAAAGCAGAATTTTCTTAGAGCAGCTGCCAATGTGTGCACTCTGCAACCAAATCTATGCAGGGGGGCCTCAGCACCACCAGCCACATGATCCTTCCTTCTGTTTATTTGTAGATACTTTTACGCAAGTACATTCAGTTTTCTATCTCACCCTGCTCTTGTGCTGCGCCAGGACTATTACTTATTCATCCATTCTGCACTTACACAAA